GTGATTCAGTACCTAGACGACTTTCTGCTGGTAGAAACTGGTACACAGACATCTCAAGTATTTTCAGCACTACTCCCTGTTTAACCACATTAGGTATCGCTATTTCACCTGAAAAGACTCTTGTCCCCTCCACTAGGTTGGTGTTCCTGGTCATCACCTTAGACACAGTCGTTTCTCAGGCAAGCCTTTCATAGGAGAAGCCGTTACACATTAGTGAGGAAGTGGATCATTTCCTGTGGGCTGGTTCATGTACTCATAGGGAGCTTCAATTCTTACTGGGGTCACTCAATTTTGCCATGCAAATCATTCCCGGCTTGTCTGATTATGCAACCATTCTCCTCGACCCCCTGCCTTAGCTGATTTAAAAATGTGGCAATGTGGTGGCTGCCATTAAACAGAATGCTTTACCCCTTCATGAAGTCTTGGCTCATGTTTGGGGATTGGAGAACTACATACACTCTGAGGATTGCTATATCACAATACTCCCCTAGGGTATAATCACTAGCTCTTCTAAGAGCAGTTCCTGCTATGAACTAGGAGAGGTCTACCCACAGGAAGCTGGATCCTGGTCTTGGGTCTATGGTGGGTAGAGGATGGTGAGACAACAACCAAGGGGCAGTTCATGGGGTTTACGGTGGTTATGGTGTTCTAGTGCAGTGCTTATAGTACTCGCAAGCCCTAGGAAGCAGCGATTGATGGAGGTACCAGTCGGGGTGCCAGGCAGTCCGTTACATGCATAGAGTCAGACCTATCTTAATATATATGCCACTAAATCATAGATACCTGCGGCACTTTAAATAGCTGCAACTAAGTGTTGTCAGTGAGTCAGTGCAAGCTTATAATAAGAAACATATAGCTGTTGTTTATCCACATACCAATTACTAAGTAGGAAACACTTGGACTTCTGATTTGCCTAGAGTTCACGAAATGCAGACCTAAAGAGCCTGAAGTAACAGAAAGCGATAATACGAGATTACCATGAATGTGAAAGTTAAAGGACCACTATAGTGCCAGGAAAACATACTCATTTTCCTGGCACTATAGTGCCCTGAGGGTGCCCCCACCCTCAGGGTTCCCCTCCTGCCCGGCTCTCGAAGGGGGAAAGGGGTTAAAACTTACCTTTTTCCAGCGCTGGGCGGAGAGCTCTCCTCCTCCGATCCTCCTCTTCTCCTCCCCGTCGCCTGAATGCGCAGCACGGCAAGAGCTGCGCGCGCATTCAGCCGGTCACATAGGAAAGCATTCATAATGCTTTCCTATGGACGCTTGCGTGCTCTCACTGTGAAAATCACAGTGAGAAGCACACAAGCGCCTCTAGCGGCTGTCAGTGAGTCAGCCACTAAAGGAAATAGGGGAAGGCTTAACCCATTCACAAACATAGCAGTTTCTCTGAAACTGCTATGTTTATGAAAAAATGGGTTAACCCTAGCTGGACCTGGCACCCAGACCACTTCATTAAGCTGAAGTGGTCTGGGTGCCTAGAGTGGTCCTTTAAGTTGTAAGAACTATGCTGCCTGTAATAGATCATGTACAACCAACCAGTCCAGACAGTAACTCTCAAAAGAAGACCGATCGCTTGCGGGGCGAACGACTGTGATCAGTAAGTACATGAGGAGGGAGAGGGTAGGGGGTTAATTTTTTTATTTACTTATGATTCATTTTTAAAAACATTTACTGAGTTCCTCGACCCCTGATGCACTCAGTACAGGCAGAACATCGGAAGCCTGTCTGAAGGCTTCTGATGCTCTTGCCTACACTGCCTGACGCCACATGGGGCAACCCGGAAGTGATCGCTTCGGGAGGAGCCATCACTCTGGTGCCTGGCAGTGAGGGGGGTATTCCACGATGCCTCGATATCGAGGCATCATGTAATACCCTTAGAGTGCCTGGAAGCAATCACGATCGCTTCCAGTGCTCATTTTGGCTGCCAACGTACCCTGTATGTCCACAGTTACTAACGGGTTAATGTTAAGCCTGCTCCCCCTAATTCTGTCTAACACTGTCCCTAAACTAATAACAAATATTCTATATAGGAATTAAAATTAATTGAGTAATAGGTAATAATTAAAAGTCCAAGTGGACAGAAAACAAGACAAACAACACTCTTATGGTCAATTATATATAGAAAGTATGACAAGAACATACACACATAAAAATATATATTTATATATGAATATAGAAACATAGAAACATAGAATGTGACGGCAGATAAGAACCATTCGGCCCATCTAGTCTGCCCAATTTTCTAAATACTTTCATTAGTCCCTGGCCTTATCTTATAGTTAGGTTAGCCTTATGCCTATCCCACGCATGCTTATACTCCTTTACTGTGTTAACCTCTACCACTTCAGCTGGAAGGCTATCCCATGCATCCACTACCCTCTCAGTAAAGTAATACTTCCTGATATTATTTTTAAACCTTTGTCCCTCTAATTTAAGACTATGTCCTCTTGTTGTCGTAGTTTTTCTTCTTTTAAATATAGTCTCCTCCTTTACTGTGTTGATTCTCTTTATATATTTAAATGTTTCTATCATATCCCCCCTGTCTCGTCTTTCCTCCAAGCTATACATGTTAAGATCCTTTAACCTTTCCTGGTAATTTTTATCCCGCAATCCATGAACCAGTTTAGTAGCCCTTCTCTGAACCCTCTCTAAGGTATCAATATCTTTCTGAAGATACGGTCTCCAGTACTGTGTACAATACTCCAAGTGAGGTCTCACCAGTGTTCTGTACAATGGCATGAGCACTTCCCTCTTTCTACTGCTAATACCTCTCCCTATACAACCAAACATTCTGCTAGCACTTCCTGCTGCTCTATTACATTGTCTGCCTACCTTTAAGTCATCAGAAATAATCACCCCTAAATCCCTTTCCTCATATGTTGAGGTTAGGACTCTATCAAATATTCTGTACTTTGCCCTTGGGTTTTTACGTCCAAGATGCATTATCTTGAACTTATCCACATTAAATGTCGGTTGCCACAATTCTGACCTAAATCATTTGCCATTTGGCTTATCCCTCCTGGAACATCAACCCTGTTACATATCTTAGTATCATCAGCAAAAAGACATACCTTACCATCAAGACCTTCTGCAATATCACTAATAAAAATATTAAAGAGAATGGGTCCAAGTACAGATCCCTGAGGTACCCCACTGGTGACATGTCCAAGCTTCAAATATATTCCATTAACTACAACTCTCTGTTGCCTGTCACTCAGCCACTGCCTTACCAATTCAACAATATTGGAATCCAAACTTAAAGATTGCAGTTTATTGATAAGCCTTCTATGTGCAACAGTGTCAAAAGCCTTACTGAAATGTAGGTAAGCAATGTCTACTGCACCACCCTAATCTATAATTTTAGTTACCCAATCAAAAAAATCAATAAGATTAGTTTGGCATGATCTCCCTGAAGTAAACCCATGTTGTCTTTGATCTTGAAATTCATGTGTTTTTAGATGTTCAACAATCCTATCCCTTAACATGGTTTCCATCACTTTCCCCACTACTGAAGTAAGGCTTACTGGCCTATAGTTGCCTGACTCTGGTTTTTTTTTATAATTCCTAAATGCTAACTTTTTGTTTTTAACTATTTTGGCCACATCTGTGGAGTACCACAGTGGTTTCTTGAATTTTTTGCTTTTACTGACAAGCCTAATGCAATTTTCTGTTGCCTTCAATAGTGCAACTTTTAAATAATCCCATTTCTCTTGGACTCCATTTAAATTGCTCCAGTCTGATAATGACTCCTCTACCCATATTCTAATTTTAGAAAAGTCTGTTTTTCTAAAGTCTAAAACTTTTGTTTTTGTGTGGTGTGACTCAGTCATTGTTCTTATATTAAACCACACTGACTGATGATCACTGGATCCTAAACTTTCACCTACAGTAATATCTGATACCAAATCTCCATTTGTTAACACTAAATCTAGTATGGCCTCTTTACGAGTTGGCTCCTCAACAACTTGTTTTAGAGACAATACCAGTAGGGAGTTTAGAATATGTGTGCTCCTGGCACAAGCAGCTATTTTTGTTTTCCAATTCACATCAGGAAGATTAAAGTCACCCATGATGATAACTTCCCCCTTCATTGTCATTTTAGCTATTTCCTCAACTAGTAGATTATCTAACTCTTCAATTTGTCCTGGGGGCCTATAAATCATACCTACACGAGTTACTGTGTGATTACCAAATTCTAACGTAACCCAAACGGACTCTATGTTTGTCTCACTAACTTTTATTAGGCTAGATTTTATGCTATCCTTCACATACAAGGCCACCCATCCCCCTTTCTTGCCTTCCCTATCTTTCCTATATAAAGAGTACCCTGATATTGCTATGTCCCAGACATTTTTCTCATTATACCATGTCTCAGTAACAGCGACTAAATCTACACTATCAGTTGCCATTATTGCCACAAGTTCATGGATCTTATTCCCTAAACTGCGAGCATTTGTAGACATGACTCTAAGCTTATCATTTTTTAACACACTTGCTACATGCACCTTCTGTCCTTGTTTTGGGGGACAATTGGATTGATGTTTTATCACCCTTTTGCCCCCCCCTCCTAGTTTAAATACATCCTAGCAAAACCTCTGAACTGCTCACTGAGAACATTTGTTCCCTTTTGAGAAAGATGCAAACCATCTTTTTTGTACAGCTTATCTCCATTCCAAACAGAGCTACCATGAGAAATAAAGTCAAATCCTTGCTCCCGACACCATTCACCAAGCCACAAATTAAAGTCCCTAATACGCATCTGCCTGTCGTTCTGAGTGTTATGCACAGGCAGAACTTCAGAGAATGACAGTGTGGAAGCAACCTGCCGTATATCATTGGCAAAAACACTAAAAACTTCCTTAACCTCTGAAACCTCATTGCAAGCCAAGTCATTTGTCCCTAGATGGACACGTACATCCAATTCCCCTTCCTGCTTTGCTTGCTTAACAATATTACAGATACGTCTCCTGTCTCTGTGAGAAATAGCTCCGGGAAGACACCTCACAAGACCACCATTGTCCATCTCCACACCTCTTATAATGGAATCCCCCAACAACAACTGCTTTCTATTAGGCCTCACCATAGTCTCCAAGCCGGTCTCCACAACACCACTAGCCTCAGTGCCTCTCTCCACAACACCACTAGCCTCAGTGCCTTTCTCCACAACACCACTAGCCTCAGTGCCTCTCTCCACAACACCACTAGCCTCAGTGCCTCTCTCCACAACACCATTACACTCTGAAAGTGCAGAAAATGAATTATGAAGAGTAACAGACTGTGCAAAATGCCTTTTATCCACAACTCTAAGTCTACTGGATCCTACAGTAATCCATCTGCCATTCCTAGTATGTCTCTGTGGCAGTGGCTTTGCAGCAGTTCCAGTCTGAGTTTGTTCACCAGATAATTTACAAATATCAGACTTCAAAAATACAATTTCCTGCCGCAAGATAGAGAACTGTCTACAGATTAGACAACAACCAAACCTCCAAAAAGTGGAATGTGAAACAAATGCATAGCAACTATTACACTGAACTAAGTCTGCCATTCCAATGAGGAGAATAATTTAAATCAAACAAATTTAACTTTGTATTTATGCTCCTGAATACCTCAGATTACCTCCAGTTTATCTCCAGAATATCTCCAACTACACACTTAGAAACAGCACTCTCCAGAATATCTCCAACTACACACTTAGAAACAGTAGTTAGAAGTAGCAACCAAGCTATATTAGCCAAGCTAATGGCAACACCCTTATATAACTCCTAAAATCACCGCCCACTAGGAATGTTTAACACCTGGGTAGACCTCTGCTTATTTGCAAAACAATAGTTAATTTAAACAGCAATCAACAGCAAGCAACTAGCTTAATCAAATCAAATGCCTTATAATTACCAACAGGAATTCAAACCTTGTGCAATCAGTAACCTTTTCCTACAGATGAATCTTACCTGTAACAGTAGAAAAGAAAGCTCTTAGCACAACTCTTAGACAGATGAAGCTTCTGTAAAACTCTCCAGAATATCTCCAACTACACACTTAGAAACAGCACTTAGATGAAGCAACCAAGCTATATGTTAGAGGATTGAGTATGGTGTGTATGAAGTTTCTCTGGTTGGTGTTTGGTGCGTATACGTTGGCAATAGTGTAGAGCATGTTATTAAAAAGTCCTGTAATTATGACATACCGTCCCTGAGCGTCTATGTCCTCAGAGTGTAGCGTAAAGCTTATGGAATTGCTAATAAGAATAGATGCTCCTTTTGATTTGGTTGGTGCTGTAGAGTGGAACTGCCAGGGATAGCATGTCTGCAACGTGTTAGGATGATCATTCTTTTTATAGCGAGTCTCCTGGAGACACACCATGTCCACCCGTAGATTCCTAAGTTCCCTCCCCAACATGTGTCGTTTAACTGGGATATTCAATCCTCTAACATTCATTGAACATATTTTCATGGGGGATTGTAGAGGAGTGATCTGCAACAGTACCTATAGATTGTGTCCATAATGTACAGGGGGATACCCTTCCCAGCTCTCTCGAGCGGGGCATCCGTCCCTTAGAATCATGTGAAGTGTATGTTCGCTGCGTGTATACCGCTTTTACATAGTATTTCGTTACAGAGGCCAAGGCTCCTCCCAGTGATGTCCAGGGGGGAGAGCTGGTCTCATCCAGGCCGCCCACACGGCCTTGAAATTGAACATAAGAACAACATGTAATTAACCAATACAATAAAAACATAAATAAACTAAAGAACTGAACTGCCAGGATAGTGGCTGGGCACAGTGGAGTGGTGCCCCGGGGCAGAAGCTCTTGGCTTCCTCCCAGTAAACTGTACTTTGGCCATTTAGGACTGTTATAGTATGTTAGGCTCTTAGTCATGTGGAGTGAAGGTGTCTTTTCTATAGGTGGAAGTCGGGCTCAGCAATGCATTTATAGCAGTATGTTGATTTCCTTTTTTTTTTTGTGTGATGTAAGTATATCTCCTGTGTTTAGTTCCTTTCTATGCTAGGGCATTCCGGGTACCTTTTTTTTTTTTTGGGGTGGGCAGTTATTTTTTATTTTTTTATTTTTTTTGTGGATGTTAGTGTTAGTGCGTATAACTGGGGCGTGTGGAAGCTTAAACTCATAGTAGCA